GAAATAAGTGACACTATCAGTTAAGGAGGAATGTATATTCACTCTTGTTATATTTTATTTCAGGTGAAGGAATCACCGCAGTCACCAGCCCAGAAGGAGTTGCCAGATCCAACTGATCAACTTTCTGATGAAGAACAGACTTTGGCTGATCCTTCTCACGCCAACAGGATTCCCGAATCTGCCAGTACAACACCAGCCGAATTCGATGATGCGTTACTTCACAAGAATAATAATGAGCCTCTCAAAATTAGGGATTATTCAAATTCCGCTGGTGAACCCTCAGAAGCAGAGGGCCTCCAGCATCAGGTTCAAGTCGCTCTATCTTCACCGACACTGACAGAGGGTCAAAATGGCAGTGCCATAAACGTCGAAGCTTCTTCACGATCAAAAAATGCATCACAATCAACAAACCTGCGGAGCATAGCAGACCTTCCTGGCCACCGAGAACAGTCCAATTCATCATCACAACAGCCTCCAATNAAAAAAATGCATCACAAACCTGCGGAGCATAGCAGATCTTCCTGGCCACCGAGAAGAGTCCAATTCATCATCACTACAGCCTCCAATCAATTCCCTCACCTGCATGGGGATTCAACAGACAACCGCTGGCGGGAGGAATTCGGCAAATCAACCGACACATGTTGAAACCAAAAATCCCTCCGTACAAAATCATCCACCCGAACCTGGTGCCTATTCTCAATAGACAAATCTTCCTACACAAAATCAGATACTCCTACAGCCAGAATTAAGTACCAACAGCGGTGCTGCGTCCCTTCTAGGGACGCAGATTAATTCAGCCCATCAGCCTGGAGGGAATCCGATGGATACTGATGATACTCAACAGCAAACTGGATCAGCCAAATCAAGACACATACAGCTCCAAAATGATGAACATCCAACCGTTGAGACTAGCGGCTCTCAAGAGACAAATCTCCCACAGTCCTCTAATAGTCCACAACATGGTGCACCTTCTCTACATCACATTCCTCCGCTACAACATCAAGTCCAAGTTCAGCATAACCAGCCAATTACACGGCCTCAAGCTGACAATGACAATGAATCTCCATTCGGAAATCCTCCCCAACAAAATCAACCTCGTGCACCTAGTCCACGTCAAGATCCTCTGCTACAACGTTGGGACCCAATTCAGAATAACCAGCCAGCTGGCAACTACAATGATCCTGCCTTCCAAGCACAACCGATGAACTTTGTGCCACATGGTTATCTACTACAGCAGCTTGCAGGTGGTGTAATGAATGGCCCCGTATTCCATCAGCCAGCTGGTGCTCCGAATCCATTGTTCAATGTCCAACAACAGGGGTATCCACCTCAGCAGTTTGTCGGTGGTATTGTTAACGGTGTCGGCTATCAACAACTCCTGGGAGCTCCATGGAACTTCCAACAACAGNGGTCGGCTATCAACAACTTCTGGGGGCTCCATGGAACTTCCAACAACAGCATAATCAAGCTCCTGTGGCTGTGAGAGGAATCGCCAATGCCGCTGGCCATCAACAGCCACCTGAGAGACAGGGCCAAGGATACGCTGAAGGCTTTCGAAATGACAACGATCAAATGCTGCCACCAGGAGGGAGGAACTATGCAGCTCCTTTACCGCCTATGAACTTTTTTGATTTTCAAGCTGGCCAAGCCAGACAGCAGCAAGAGCAAGGTAGACAGCATGGCGCGAATGCTCATATCGGCAATGAAGAGAATATCAGGCCCGGAGTATATCCACCGAATGTGGGAGAAAGCGGTGGTAATCAATTGCGTGCACGCAATGATGATGGCGTCATTATCGAGCGGCTTCGGCGCATTGAGCACGCTGTGGATCGTTTGCGACCACAGAATGACGCTGGAAATCCGCCAGCATTCCTGAAATTTGATTCGACTGCAAGCATCGAAGCTTTCGAGAATGCCTCAGCAGACGATTATCAGGCACTGATTGCGTTCATGCAAATTAATGGCGGTGATACTTTGACAAAATCAGCATCTGGATTCATCCGAGCTACGCTTTCTAATGATTTCATCCCAACCGTGACTATCAAACGACACGAGCGNCTGGATTCATCCGAGCTACGCTTTCTAATGATTTCATCCCAACCGTCACTATCAAACGACACGAGTGTGGAAAATTTTCATTGACCTCCACTCGGTTTATGAGAGCTTGCTATTCGGCATTGCGTAGGATGGGGAAATTTGGCCCTCAAATCGACAGTCAACTTTCGTCTGCGATGTCACAGGGTCTTAAAACTGCCAAAAATCTTAGAAGATATCACAATCGGAGAGCAGTAAATCCTTAAGAGTGCGGTTCAAATGTTAATAATTCTTGTGTAGCTGGAAAAAAAATTTACTATGGCTTTGAAAAAAAAAGACAATCAATTTTTATGCTAATGGGCCGGGATTAATAACTGTGATTTATTCAATATTCAATTTTCAGCTACTTCGATTACTGATGCATTTCTTATAATATTTTTCGTTGATCATCAACTGCCTCATATCATCGACATCGACACGAAAGATTCAAGTCTTTGATGCCTAGGAACCCGAAAATTGAAACATCGACATTGTGGTAAGGTTCTCGAAATTGACTTGGTATTTGAATGAGTGGGCATATTCAGCGTCAGTTTTGTTATACTAATGTTATCATCATTCAGTTCCAAAAATTGCCCATCAGTCAAAACATTATTAATTCACTAAATTGTTTGATCAAGAATCATTGCCAACCCTCAAAATATTTATCTAATCTAAGATATTTATCTTCATTTCTTTTGGTTCTAGGGTTCTCAAAAGTACATCCTTTGGAGAGCAATCATTAATTGAACCGCATCATTTAATACTCCGCAAATATTCCACAGAATCTTCGATTAGAGTTTAGCAAAAAAGGCGAAAAGATGTTTCATGATCGTAAATGTATTGTTTTCCTACCCGTTTACTTATCGTTTTTCTCTTCGTAAAACAAAATAGTTGATTTGTTGTATCGAGAATGTGACTCACGTTTCCTTTTTTTTCCCTTTTTTTTTTCAATTTTTCAACTGATAGCAGTTCAACAAGTAAGACAGGTGATTCAAACAAAATCCAATAATTTCTTGTCGTTTCTTTGACAGTTTTATTTTAGTGATCACTCTGAAAATGAGACACGTGGTTTATGTTATGAGAATGTGAGAAAAACCTCCTCAAATTGATAATTATATGAGATTTCAACCGTTTGGTATCATTTAAGTCAAATACTGCAATGGTACAAATGAATTAAGAAAAATAGTATGTTACTCTGATGCGATTTTGTTCTTTTCATCGATGAAAAATGTTTTTGTGCATGTTTCGAATGAAAGCTGGTGAATACTGGAAGCTTGAGAGTTGCATTTAGTATTACGCTGTGCAAAACAGATTTTGAAGATTTTAATAATAAATGAACCACTTCTTCCCATCATCTTTCTCTTTACCATTTTATTCATGATTTTGAGATACATTTGCAGGCAAGTTACCTATCTGGCAGTTGAAAAAAAATGCACCAAGTAATTAACTTTTCGCCGATATGGATTACCAAAATCCTCGTCTTCTCGGCTTCACATAATATTCATGGACTGGCTTTTGATCCCGGGCGTTGTGCGGGGATTTTTTTCGCAATTTCGCTAGAACACCCGTGAATTCCCTCAAATTTTCTGGAAAACCGAATTTTCTCAATTTTCCATAATATCCTAATGAGGACCCTAAACTGATTGACAGTGAAAATCGCACTTGACCCCTCACGTACGGGCCCCTTCTGTTACTAAGTGGGCTCAATATTACCAAGATTCAATAACTTCTGATGGATGGAAAATTCCGAATATGCTATTTTTAGAGCATGTCCGTATGTATGTATGTATGTATGTATGTATGTAATTAATTTTCTTTTTCGATTTTCTGGATAACTAATCGATGGAATTTCATGATTTTTTGTTTGAAATATCGGCCTTAATAAGAGCTTCCCATTGACCCCAGAACTCAATCAACAATATAGTTTTTGAGATATTAACATTTTTATTTTTTTTTATTTCGACGATAAGTCAAAAAATAATTATTCAAATTGATTAAATGAGGGCTTAAAAAATTTGTATCAATGGTATATTAACCGAGTTCGAAGATGGGGGAAATAGCATTATTTGTTCGCGGGTGACAGCCTGATTTGATAGATTTTTCTTCTGAAAGCTATTAATCGGGGTTTAGTCGGGACTTAGTTGGGGCTTAGTCGGGATTTAACCGGGATTTAGATGGGGCTTACTGAGGGCTAAAGCGGTGTCCAGTCGGAGTTTAATCGGGGCTTAGAACATGTCTGTATGTACATATATATTCATATATGTCCGTTAGAAATTGTTTTCTTTTTCGATTTTCTCAATAACCACTCTATGAAATTCTATGATTTTTCCTTGGAATATAGGATTCTATAAAGATTATCGATAGACCCCTTTTAGAATTGAATCCATCGTATAGTTTCCAAGGTCGATTTCCATTTTTCGATGTTTTTTCGATGATTTTTCGAGAAGTAGTATTAAAATAATTATCTAAAACGATGAAATGAGAGGTCAAAAATTTATATCAATGGTAAAAAATTGGCGTAGTTCAAGGCTGGAGGTAATAGCATCAATGATTCTTGAGTGACAGCTTGATCTGATGGAAATTTTTTCATGAAAGCTTGAATTGAAGTTGAGGGCTGTCATACACTGGATGTATAACAGCTGCAATAAAAATAACAGAAAAACAATTTTATGGGAATTTTCATAAGAAGATTGACAACTGAGTACCTTGAAATACTGTCAGTGTGTGGAGAAATTTTAAGGGTCCTGAAGACGCCAGTTATGAGCAGCTTCCAGATCCTGACGCTTTCCATGGACTCCACGAATGTAACGAATGATTGGAGCATATTATCGACTAATTTATTCTAAATAAAATTATAAAAACATCCCGTCTTTAATGAATAGTAAGAAATGAAGATTCCATAACCAAAAAAAAATTCCGAAAAATATAAAATAACATAAATCCTCTTTAGAAATTCTTCGTCATGAATTTTCATAATTAACTGTTGAATTTCATTGATTTTTTTCGAATGTAAGAGTTGATTTGCTAACATGATTATCGCTCGAGGACCTTCAGTTAGAGATCTTGATGTGGAGTGGAGTAAACTATCTGATGCAGAAAACTATAAAAAATTGATGTAGAATATATCTCGACAATAGCTCGAATCTGGGAGCAAATTAAAATTTTGAGTCTCATCTGTACCACACAGCCCGATTTTTAAAATTAAATTATTGTTAGATGGAAAATTCGAAAAAAAGATTTCAATTATATAACATTGAATTTCAAAATTGAAGTTGACCATTCGGAAGCAAATTGCTAATTAATTAGCAAAAACAACTATACGAAAAATAGGTCAATGCAATGCCTACTTGTTTTTTTTTGTTTCGACGCTAAGTCAAAAAATGATCATTCAAATTGATTAAATGAAGGCTTAAAAAATTTGTATCGATGGTATATTAACCAAGTTCGAAGATGGGGTTAATAGCATCATTCGTTCTTGAGTGACAGCCTGATTTGATTTTTTTTTTTTNTAAATGAAGGCTTAAAAAATTTGTATCGATGGTATATTAACCAAGTTCGAAGATGGGGTTAATAGCATCATTCGTTCTTGAGTGACAGCCTGATTTGATGTTTTTTTTTCTCATGAAAGCTATCAATCAGGGTTCCGTCGTGGCTTAGTCAGGGTCGAGTCGGGGTTTAATTAGGATTTATTGTAATAGTTGATTTGCCAACATGGCTATCGCTCGAGGGCCTTCAGCCAGGTATATTTTTATGTGGAGTGGATTTTTTAGTTTAAACATCCGCAGAATATTTAATTTGGAAACTGTATAGAAGTTTCTCATGAATATTGTGAGGAAAATTATGGAAAATTGATGTAGAATTGGAAGCTTGAAATTGTGAGTCTCATGCTGCTACCACGTGTGCCACACATCCGGGTTTTTAGAGTTGTATTTTTCGACGATTATTCAAAGAATAACTCTTTAAATCCGTTCAATAAAGATTTAAAGAATATGTTTTAATGATATAAAATTGATTTTGTCCATTCGGAAGCAAATTGCTAATCTATTAGCAAAAACAACTATACTAAGAATACATTAATGCAATGACCACTTGTTTCCACAAAAATCATATCGACCATTTTTTAAAAGAGAGGCTCCTGTGAGTTTTCAAAGTGACAGGCTATTGAAGCGAGATTTCTCATATGTCAGATATCCCTTCAATATATGTCAAAATGTAGAATTAGTGCAGAAAAAAGCATTTTGTTGTTCATTTTCCCTCCCAACGCGTAAAATATATTGAAAACGTGGTCGAAGGTTATTTTTACGAAGGTTATTTTTTGGTCAAAGATTTTCAAAAAATGTGTAGAATAACAATTACGAGCCACTTTTACCCATATTCGACTCCCAAATGACATGATTCGACATTTTTGAT